AAACGTCCCTTTGAGATGCTACAATAATCCTCCTTACCTTATCATGAGTCAAATGATAATCAGAGATCTCTGTAACCATTCCCTCACTACTGCTAGCATCCATAGTAGGAAACTCTGCCTCAAACTGAGTTTTCTCCGTTATAGTTTCTCCCAAGTTTCTCCCTTGGTTTTCACTATTCTTCTTCTGAAGAAATTCTCTACCAACTAAGTAAGCTATTTAAACCTCAGCTCTTCCCCAAAAACTCAATAACAACTCAGCGGTAACATGCATTTTTATCCCTTGATTTCTGAAAAATTTATTGAACTCCTCTGAAACTTTCTCAAGGCATTCATAACGCCTTAAACTCAAATCTCATAGCCCTTCGTTGTCATGAAAGCCTCCGCTAGTTAACGATGAATGAATAATAACATTTGAACCTTCTAAAATATATAGACCGCATATTTTAGACCCTTTAGAAATAATCAATTCATCACGCAAAATCTTCAACACTCCACGTTCAACTCTAGTACAATAGCCTAAATCATCAAACATACTTATAGATAACAAATTTCGCTTGAGTTTTGGAACATACCTCACATTATGAATAAGAAGTTCACGATCATTAAAAAATTTAAATCTGACCGTACCAATACCATGAACCTTGCATGCCTTATTATTAGCAAGGTGAACTACTCCACCTTGCACCATAGTCAAAGTTTCAAAGTATTCTATTCTTGGACACATGTGATAAGAGCAACTTGAGTCAATGAACCAACTATCTTCAGTTTCCAAACTCAATACTACTAGTGCTTCAGCATCCTCGTAAATTTCCTCACCCAATGTAACTACAGCTTGAACAGAATCTTCACTGACCTTTCTTTCAGGACAATCCCTTTTAAAGTGAGCGATTTTCTGACAATTAATTTTTTTACCTATGACTTGTCAGACCTCTTTGATTTGCACATCCCTTTACGCTCACCTCGACACATTTAAGCCTTCACCACTTTCTTCAATCTTCAAATCTTTCGAATTTCAAAATTCTTTGGATTTCACTGCCGTTTGGACTTCATCCAAAGTAATAGTACCTTCCTTACCATAAAGAAGGGCATCTTTAAAGTGCTCAAAGGATCTGGGTAATGAACTCAACAGGAGCAAAGTCTTGTCCTCATCATCAATCTTCACTTCAATATTCTTAAGATCATTGATAATCTTATGAAATTCTATGAGTTGCTGAACTATGGATTTGTTCTTCACCATTCGGAATGAATAGAGTTGTTGTTTAATATACAACCTATGAGCCAAAGACTTTGTCATATACAATAATTCAAGTTTTTCCCACATAGCAACTGCAGTTTGCTCCCTGGCGACTTCTCTTAGAACTTTATGCCTGGGGCACAAGATAATGACACTCCTGGCCTTATCCACCATCTCGGTCTTCTGTACCCGTGTAAGCCCTATAGGAATTAATGCTTCAATCTTCAAAGCATTGATACACTTCTCTTGAATTAAAATTGCTTGCATCTTAATTTTCCACAACCCGAAGTTGTTGTTACCGAAAAATTTCTTGATCTGCCATCTACTAACCATGGTGCTCACTTGTCAACAACATCTCTTTGCTCCACGCTCACCGCACCATTTATTGTGAATTACGACAAAATTCAATATCAATTTGTGAGGTAAAGATCAATAGCAACTAAAATAAATGGTCTTCAGCAATAATAATCCGTACACATATAATATAACATAATAAGGCAAGAAAAAATCGAAGGTTTATTTACCCAGTTCGATCAAAAAATCTAATATAGGGGAGATAACAGCTCTCCAATTCACTGTACTCAAAAAGTTGTTACAAGAGATTACAAATGAGTTACAAGAAAATATCTTCCGTCTTCAGGTTCCCAATAACAACCCTGAAGGCGCCCAACAACAACCCTATTTTCTACCAAAGTGTTTCCTTACCTCTCCAACTCTCAATATATGAATCACTCACACCCAATGTGTAATCCAAGGTTTTCTTTATGCATAGCTGAAACCTTATGCTACACCTTTAAACCCTTGGTCTTCCTTTTTGGTGAATACTATAAGAAACTTATCTATAGGGAATGACGAGTTCAAATATTTCATACTCTTAGGAAATGATATGCTTGTGATGACTATCTAGCAAAACATGGAGCTGGTAATGTGCGGCGTACATGTCCTTTGCAGAGCCTCCTGTTGGAATCACTATTCTATTGTTACATGATGCCAGTGAGACTTTATTTTTAATATAAATTTCTATCTTTTTCTCTCTCTTCTTTTTCCCACTTATACAAAAAAAAACTTTGTCAAAGTAATGGTTCTTATATTTTTCTTATATGCAAAAGTTTATGTTTAAGTGCTCTATTAGTATAGTTTAGTTTGTGTAATCAATATTGTTATGAATTTTTAACAAAATTTTTAAAATAATACATTAAAATCTAGACTTAAATATAATTTCGTCATTTATTTTCTATCGTTATAGTCTTTTATATTTTTATTTTATTCGTCTTAGTCATTTATTTATTTTAATGGTTGAACACTAGTTCTTTTGAATACTAGAGTTTTTTTTATCATCATGCATGTATTTTTATAGAAAACTTTATCGGTATAATTTTATTAGGGTCCTTAGAGAGCATAGTTCATCAAATGGATACTAAAAGCCAACACACAAGTAGGGGCAAAATGTCCCGTAAAGTCGTAGGCCGCATGAATTGGGCCATGAAGTTGCATGGTTATACATATCTAGTCGCCCGATTAAGCTTTGCCTACCTAACTTACTTATCTCGTCACTTATCCATAAATGTGAGGTATGTCGTGTCCCACTATAACGGGTCCAAAAAGAAAGTCAAGGAGGATAATAACCTATTCCACAATCTAAGGAAGGACAATTCCTTCCTCCCTACGGTCAAATGAGTGTTGGTAACACCTCTTCCCCCAGACTTAAAAAACCTCTATAAATATCTCAACTTAAAGGTTTAAGAGAAAAAAAATCTCATTATGCAAATACCACATATAAATAGATTCTTAGCTCTCCATTGAACTTCCTCTAAAAACCCCCTACAACAAATCCTAAAAACTTATGACATCCATTGATCACTAAGAATTGTTACATATTATTCTTTTAAATAGTATACAACTTTGACTGTCATGTCATTTATTTATAATTTTTTGGTTTAATTACTATTTTTTGAAATTAATTCTTTTATTTTAAATTTAAATAATTTTAATCTACTTTTTTTTTAATTAAAAATTGATTCTTTTTAATTTGTATTTATTTATTTGTAAAATTCAATAAAAGGTATAGAAATGATGATTTGTCATGTTTTATAATTAATCCATCATTTAAAAATAAAGATATTATCAATTTTAAATGTATAAATATGAGAGCAGAATTAAAACTATTTAAATTTAAATTAAATAATTAATTTCTTGAATTATTGAAATTAAATCTTAAAAAAAAAAATTCACCTTTATTTGTTTGTAGTAGACATTGATTAATTATTCATTTTGTTAATTATCTTAGGAACATAAAAATGATTAAAAAAAATTAAAGTAATGGTGAAAGTTGATCGTGAAAGGTTGTGAATGAACGTGATTATGTTCAAAATTTATCAATAATGGTTGAGAATGAATGTCATTATCTTCGTATTTTCTCAATAAAAATAAATGATATATAGTATTTTTAAGTAGATTGAAAAATTAAAAAGATAAATAATTAAAATATTTTATTTTTTAATATAAGCACATATAAGATATTTAAAAGTTTGTAATATAATTAATGTGCCAATTATATATATTGATGTATCTAATATACCATTTGTATTTGTATATAGTTAGTTTTCATTTTTCAGCTTCTAAAACACTTAGTGGTATTATTTGGAAGTTTATTTAAAAGAGAAACAATAAATAAATCAAATAGTTTAAAAATAAATTTATATTAACATTTACAATAACTTTTTATCCAATAAAATTTATATTTAGAAATAAAGAGAGTAAATGATTAAAACGAATAATTTGTAAAAGAAGATAAATGACAAAAATTACAATGAAGCCAAAAAATTTAAAATACATATAAAATATAGCAAATGATCAAAACGAATAATTTGTAAAAGAAGATAAATGACTACAATTATATTGAAAAAAAATAGATATAAAATATAGTAAAGGATCAAAAGGAATAATTTGTAAAAGAAGTAAAATAACTAAAATCATATTAAGAAAAAAAATTTAAAATACATATAAAATATATTAATGATCAAAATAAATAATTTGTAAAAGAAGGTAAATGACTAAAACTATATTGAAACCAAAAATTTAAAATACATATAAAATATAGAAAATTGGATTAGAAGAGCCATTCAATTACCACTTGAGTTGAAAAATATTTTAAAGTGTTGGTGTTTTTTCCAAATAATATCTTTATTACTTTTAGTATTACAAATAAAATAAAATAATATAAAAACATTAAAAGTTATGTAAATTATAGTTTCAATCCTCCGATTTTATCTAATTAACAAAATTAATTTTCTTATTTTAAATTCAAATAGTCTTGATCACCTCTCATATTTTGCATAAAAAATCAATAATATATTTGTTTTTTAATTTACATTTTAATTTACAATATTTTATAATAAATTTATATACGATTATTTATCATGTTTTATAAAAATGTATCAATTAAAATATATAAATATTATTAATTTTAAATATAAAAATAAAAAAATAAAAAAATTTAAAATTTAAAATAAATATTATTAATTTTAAATATAAAAATAAAAAATATTTAAATTTAAAATAAAAAATTAATTTTGTGTATCAGATAAAATAGAAATAAAAACTGATAAAAACCTAAACATTAAGACATAAAAGCCTCATGAAGGAAAATACTATATAGAACATAAATATAAGAGAAAAACAAAACATGTTTCACTTGAGATTTTAGAATTTAATGCACTTTCCTCTCTCCCATTCTCCATTTCTCTCCCAAAACTTGTCTTCTCTTATGGAAGATCATCTCTTTCACAAACTCAAAAAACCTCTCTTTTCCATTCTCTTCATACTACCTACACCTTTCCTTGCTCTTCTCTTTCTCTTTCTCTTATCTTACAATGCTTTCTCCATTTTCACCCTTCACATTCCTCATCATGATCATTCCTTACATAAATCTCTCCATCTTCCACCACCATCTCACACCAAAATCAATCTATCTTCTTCCGTCTTCTTCGCCCTCCACGAAGATTCATCGCCAATCATCAACAAAAGAGATAAGAAACACAAACATGGCCTATTCACCTTGCCTTCTGAAACAAGTTTCCCACTCTTCGAAAAAAGACTCAATGCGTTTTTCACTTCAAAGTCCTCTTCTTCTTCTTCATGCGAGGTTAGGTTTTTCATGACTTGGATTTCACCCTTGAAATCATTTGGTGAGAGAGAGTTCTTATCAATTGAAAGCTTGTTCAAGTCACACCCAAAAGCTTGTTTGGTGATAGTTTCAAAGTCAATGGATTCACAAAAAGGAGCTCAAATTCTTAGACCCTTTATCAAAAATGGCTTTAGAGTCATTGCTATTGAACCTGATTTCAACTATATATTCAAAAACACGCACGCCGAATCATGGTTTAATCGATTAAAACAAGGGAATATGAATCCAGGTGAAATCTCTCTAGGCCAAAACCTCTCGAATTTACTTCGACTTTCTCTCTTGTATAAACATGGAGGCATATATATAGACGCCGATGTAATGATCTTGAAGAGTTTTTCAAATCTCAGAAACACTATTGGAGCACAAAACATTGATTCAAAAACAAAGAAATGGAGTCGTTTGAACAATGCTGTATTAATATTTGACAAAAACCACCCTTTGCTTTGGAAGTTCATTGAGGAATTTGCCCTAACTTTTGATGGAAACAAGTGGGGGCATAATGGTCCTTACTTAATATCTAGAGTAGTTTCTAGAGTGAGTGGAAGAGAAGGGTTTAATTTTTCTATAGTTCCACCTTCTGCATTTTATCCTGTGGATTGGAGAGCTATCAAGAGTTTGTTTAAAGATGAGATTCATTCAAAATGGTTGGTTAAGAAAATGAAGCAAATTAGAGAAGAAAGTTTTGCATTGCACCTTTGGAATAGACAAAGTAGGGATCTTAAGGTTGTAAAAGGAAGCATTGTTGATAATATCATATCTAGTTGTTGTATCTTTTGCAACACTTAGATTTTTAATTATAATAACTTTTTAGTTAGTGTAATAGAATTAATATAATAGTTTAAAGTTTTAAATAATGATTAACTCCTATCACCATGAAAATAAGAGTGTGTGTTTGTGTGTTAGATATGTGATCCACCTACTTTCAATTTCAAAGAATTCAAACACTTTTAGTTCAAACACAAATTTCTTGCCATACTCCCATTATTTCATTATTGTCATTTAGAATTCCATCATCTATTTAATTATTTTAAAATAAATGCTAACATGTGTAAGGGTGCATGTTATTTGTATCACACATATTAAAGAATTCAATATGTAAATATTGTAACATATTGCACAATTTTACAAGCTGTGACATAGAAGTAAAGGAAAGCTAAAGTATCATAGTGAAAAAGAACACAGTGATCACAAATAGCTTGTATTGCAAGCTATCGATACTCAAAGATATAAGCCACTTTATGAATTCTATTCAAATTTGAAGATTTTGTGGGAAGAATTTGAGATCTACATTCCGATTCCTACATGAAGCTGTAGAAAAAAGTGTACATGTGAAGCTATATGTGAAATTGTAGTCATCGTCAGTACCGTTTTTGTTTTGATGATTTCCCAATTTGTGTGTATATGCATTAATTGATTTATCGCGTATTTGTAATTTGTCAATTATGTGGATCATTGTTTTCAATGGATGCTTGTAATTCGTTTGGATTCATTTATATTAGTTTGCTTCAGCTATAATTAGTATTGTACCTTTGAGAACCTTTTCATTCAATGATATTGGAGTTGAATCCATGAAAATGTTTCTTATTTTAGCCTTGCAATTTAATTTATATCAATGTATTAATTATTGTTTGAATCACAAGTTAGAATTCTTGAATCAAGGCGGCATAGATGCTTGATTCGAATGAAGCATAGTGTGACCCGAATCATGAACTGATCTTTAAATTGAGAGTTTCCCATATCTCACTTGATTAGATTCATGAGAGTGTGATTCGAATCACAATGCATGACTCGAATCATGGATCATGCTTGATTTGAATCATGGCTTCATTCACAAACATTTATCTCATTGTTCATTGTTTGGCATGATTATTCCACTAAACGTTGTTTGGTTGCAAGTTTTCTCGAAACTTCATTTTTCCTTGTATAAGGGGGGGGGGGGGGGGGGTGTCATGGACTTACACTTCTAAAAACTCTCAAGGATTATTGGATACCCTCAATATCAATTCTTGGAACAGAGAGTATGTCACTTCTTTAAAACCCAACCTCTATAAATCTCAATTGTCATCTTTCTTCCCTTTACTTTTTATCTTTCGTTTATTTTCATTATCTTAATTTTTTATTGCATATCCAAACTTCTTTTAGAAAATATTTTTAAACTCATATATAGAAAATAATTTTGTTTTAAAATAGTGTTTTTTAAACTCCGCAACTCACTCTTTTCTTGTGTAAGAAGTCATATGTTCAACAAATTTCCTTTGTTGCAAGTACGTCATGACGAAACTGCATATACCTCAAACTAACCAATTTGAAAACATAACCAAAAATAAGTTGTCTCCTTTGAAGTCAAATCAACCCACATTGATGGTGACTTGACAGAAACTGGAATGACAACACAGCCTAATATCCTATGAGTAATAGGCAAATACCCCTTTTCAACTACCATAACTTCTAGCGCAGTAGTAGGAGACATGAACCATAGAAACTTAGGTTCATCCATAAAACTACCATCTTCAGCTAGCACTACAAATGGCGCAGTCTCAAAAACTCTAGCAACTAGCATTAAATTTCCTTTGTGCTCCTTGTTGGAATTAACTCAAAACTTTGAGAATCCTGAATCAATCTTGATGAACAAGATTCAATCAACCTGATCGAAATTCCTTGTTCTTCACCCTTCACTCAAGTGAAATAACCACACTTTGATTGCAAGAATGATTTTACACAACAATTGTTAATGGAAGAAGAAAGAAATAAGATTTAATAAGAAAGAAGATTAGGGTTTAACAAAATAAGGGAAGAGAAGAATGATTTCTGCAGAGTAACTCTCTGCTCTCAAACTGAGAAAAAAATATTATTCAACTATGCAATTGCACTTTCTGTTGTGTGTTACAATATTATTCTCTATTTTCTTACTCAAAATAGGGGTTAATCCCTCTATTTATAATTGAGCTACTTGCTCCCTAAGGTAAAGCACAAAATTAAAAAAGCCCAAAATTTATATTTTGGTCTAAGTCGAAATCCTGTGTCAAACAACCTACTTCGACACTTTGACATCTAACACAACTCGACACTTCTTCGAATTGTTTCACAAACTCAGCTGCTTGTACCTTCAATTCAGCAACCTCAGACAGGTCAATTTTTCCCTTTGACACGCATACCCAATACTCCCCTGAAGGAGAAAACCCAAAGCACAAGGTAGAAAAACATGAACTATCCAAGTTCATGCATTAGAAATGCATACAACAGAAGTCACACCTATTAGAAACACATACAACAGAAGCCACACATATTACTCAGGGTATCAGAGTAATAAACAACCATAGAGCAACCAAGGTTCTCCAAAACCATATTTCTCATATACTTTGACAACAACATGAGAAACTTAGCTCACCCTAAATAATTACAGCATATCAAGCAACCAACCAAACACTACTCTTCCTAATCAATAGTAAAGCACAACTCATGAAGACATGACATATTGTCCAACATCAAAAACAGACACAGTCAAAACAACCTGACATTTTCTCCCCCTTTTTAGCCAAAAATTGACTAAAAGAAGACAGAGTAAACATAAACAACATCTATGGAAACATACAGTAGCAAAGGCTACAAACAATATTAACAGCAACGAAACAGATGGAAGCAGAAACACCATACCAGATTGGAAACACAAATTGTCAGGGACTTATTACAACATAAACATCAAAAGTAAAACAAAAAAAACAAACTAAAAGAAGGCTTCAACTATGGAGTCTGCAAACCACTCCAACCTCCTGAGTTAATGAAATTAACCCAATCTTCATCACCATCCTCATCAGAGTCTTGGTTTTTCTTGAAGGACCTCATTGTTGTCACTGATGCCTTCCTTGTCCTAGATGCTCCAGTAGATGAGGAAGTAGATGTCCCAACATTAGACTCTACCTTCTTTGAATTAACACTCTTGACATTTTTGGCATCCAACAAATAAGCCTTCGTAGCATTAGAAGTTTTGGAATTTTGGCTCATGTTGAAAACACGACTGGGTACACGGCTAAAACTGCACTAAAGAATAACACCCTTGCTTATAACGCCTGGACAGACAAGTAAAGGAAGGTGGAACGGAGGTAAAATATCCTAGGTAACAGAGGCATTCTCCTATTTAACTTTCCAACCTTTGACTGCAGTCTTGAAATGACATTTTCAATGTCATTGAAAAATAGTTTTTTTTGAAAAGTGTATGCACCTTAAAAGAAAAACGTATTTCATGCCTCCTAAATTGAAGATGCTATAACTCTTCATTAACACATCCTCCTATAACACCCCTGACAAGATGTTGACTAGTCATAACAATGTTCTGTAACTGTACAGAGAGAGAATCCTTGAAACTACTGATTGTGATCAGCGTGTCACAGTACAATATCATGACACAATGTTTGACATTGGAATCTTCTAGCATCCAAATCAATTTGGAGGAATAGCTTCCCCAATGAAATGCTTAGACCAAAAACCAAAAATGACTCTTACAGATCCACAAAGACTAGATTGTTTCACCAGAAAAACCATCCTTAATCAACCAGAGATATGCAAGTTAGAAATAGAACATGATCCATATAAGAACACCACGACATGAGAACACAAATAGCTTCCACTAGAATATATATAGCTGAAGAGATCAGCAAGCTGAATAGCTCAAGAACAATGTCAAGACATTAAGTCTGAAATTACAAACCAACACTGCAATCTTGCAGCAAGCAAAACAAACAGGTACGCAACTCCTTTGGAGATCACAACCTACAATGCCATCATGAACTGTCCCAGTTCACATATCAGAGGCACACACACAATGAAAACCTCAAACATATTTAGGAGTAACCAGAGTTCTCTAAAGCCTTTCAGGCAGGCAAAATGTCATGCACATTTGGTTTAACATTAAGGACATAAACCACATTAGAAGATATACATCTTTTCTTATGCACCAACAACCAGAAAGATGTCATAACGTGGCATCCACTCATAAATCACAAAGACAAGTAGAGATCATTCCCATTCTTCATACCATAGCATCACCAAGAAATCTCAGAGAATTCATGATTCTCTTCAACATCAGGAATGTCATCCTACTCTACACAACATAATCTTCCTTTTAGCATTGTCAAAGTCATCTTCACCAACGGACTTGTCCAAAACTCTACTCTAAACTCCACCAGAACTTGATATTTCAATTCTGAAGCTGTTGATGAACATAAACTCCATAACATGAGCTCCTATGAAAAAACTGCTACAATAATGTCCTAACATTTTCTTGGATATTAGTCTCTTGAACCCTTAACCTTAGTTTTGGACAAAATTCATAGGATCTGTTATCATCACAGCAGCTCAGGAAAATTTACTTGCATGAACTACTAGAGAATTAAAACATAGCAAAAAGCATCACACTGCGAGGAAAGATCATAGAAACTCAAGGAAAACTCCACACAGAGAGAAATAAACTCTCACAGACACCAGGAACCAAAAATAACTTCTACATAGAAGCACGAGGTTAAGACAACCTGTTTGACACCACAGTACTAGCATAAACACTTATGCAAACAAGAAGAGGTTCTCTCAACATACACATTTGAGTTGTCCACACTACCAGGGTGCTGACTAAGCATATCACACTTATCAGACTCTTCCATGCACTTCCCTCATAGGAACTATGAGAGAAAATAAATCTGATGATGCAACATTTGGAGACTTTATCTCCCTTGGACATAAGCAAGAGCAAACAGTTCACATAGAAGAAACTGGCTATGGAAACAACTTGCCAC